GCCCTAATAACAATAAGGGGGGGACCTATTGTCCCCTCCCGGCCCCCACCCCTGAGCGGTGGGTGGGGGCCCTAAAATGAACAATAAGGGGGGACCTATTGTCCCCCCCGCCCCCACCCCTGTGCGGCGGGTGGGGGCCATATTGATAATGAGATAATGAGGGGGGGACCTATTGCCCCCCCGGCCCTCACCCCTGCGCGGCGGGTGGGGGCCATATTGATAATGAGGGGGGACCTACTGTCCACCCCCCCTCCGGCCCCCACCCCTGGGCTGTGGGTGGGGGCCCTAAGTAAATCCCCCCCCCAAGGTGACTAGGGGTCCCCAAGCCCCTAGTCACCCCCCCAAATAAAAAGTCCCTACCTACCCCCCTCACGCTAAAAAATAGTGAGGGGGGGGAATAAAATAACTAACCTGTAAAATAAAATTAAACTTACCATTCGACGTCTTCTTTTTTCTCAAATCTTCATTTTTCAGCCCCAAAAAAGGCCAAAAAAAAAACCATTATAACCGTCGAACTAAAAAAAAAAATCCCGAGCACAAAAAAAAAAAAACAACGAAAAAGAAAAAACCTGAGCACAAAAAAATAATCCATCTTCACCCATGGAGGGCTCCGCTGATTTTGTTCCTCCTTTACTTTTTCTTTAATGAAAAAACACCAAACCGTTGGATGAATTTCTCAACCATACATTTCTGAAGAGTTCCAACCTCTAGATCAAAGTCCAAAGGAACCTGAATCTAAGGAATTGGAGAACCTCAAATTATATAAAATATTACTGTGTAAAACATGTGTAAATTAGTGATGTCCCGAACGGTTCGCTGGCGAATAGTTCCTGGCGAACATAGCGTGTTCGCGTTCGCCACAGATGGCGAACATATGCGATGTTCGGTCCGCCCCCTATTAATTTACTAATACTAAGTAAAAATTACTTAGTATTAGTAAATTGTGCCCCTACTCGCAATACCGCGAGTAGGGACATGTCTATTAAACAGTGAGCAGCCTTATTGTTCATTTTAGGGCCCCCACCCACCGCTCAGGGGTGGAGGCCGGGGGGGACAATAGGTCCCTCCCTTATTGTTATTAGGGCCCCCACCCACCGCTCAGGGGTGGGGGCCGGGGGGGACAATAGGTCCCCCCCTTATTGTTCATTTTAGGGCCCCCACCCACCGCTCAGGGGTGGGGGCCGGGGGGGGACAATAGGTCCCCCCCTTATTGTTATTAGGGCCCCCACCCACCGTTCAGGGGTGGGGGCCGGGGGGGGGACAACAGGTCCCCCCCTTATTGTTCATTTTAAGGCCCCCACCCACCGCTCAGGGTTGGGGGCCGGGGGGGGGACAATAGGTCCCCCTTATTGTTATTAGGGCCCCCACCCACCGCTCAGGGTCCCCCCCTCATTATCTTTATGGCCCCCACCAGCCGCCCAGGGGTGGGGGCCGGGGGGGAGGAGAGTAGGTCTCCTCCCACCCCTTCAACCAGAAAGAGTCCCTGTGGGTTTTAAAATTCGCCTGCCTATTGAAGTCTATGGCGAAAATTTCATGTTCGCGACATCACTAGTGCCGGGTTACCCTTATCCCTGCGGCACGCGCTATGCGCCTCCCTCTGTGGGCCGGTGAGGAAGATCAAAGTTCTCCCTCACCTGACCACAGGCAGGGAGGCAGGAGAGGACCACCAGGGAGGGAGGCAGGAGAGGACCCGGGAAGCTCTGGCCAGCAGCTCCGCCGGGTTCCTCTCGCGAGGTCTGAGCGTTGCCATGGTTACCGCGGCAATGCTTAGATCTCGCAAGAGTGAACTCTAGCCCCTGTGGTTCACTTTCCACTGGACCACCAGGGATGGCAGCAGCATGGTCCCCCCTTCCTACATAAGGCAAGAAGGGAGGGGGGATATTAACTAAACAGCCCTCTCACCCCACACATTACACACAAATAGCACACACACACTAACAGCACCCTTACACACACATCACCCTCACACACACACTAACAGCACTCTTACACACACACTAACATCACCCACACACATACAGCACCCTTACACGCACATACAGCACCCTTACACACACATACATCACCCTTATACACAGCACCCTTGCACACACAGCGCCTTCACACACACACAGCGCCTGCACACACACACAGCACCCACACACACAACACCCTCAAACACAGCGCCCTTACACACACAGCGCCTGCGCACACACACACACACACAGCGCCTGCACACACACACAGCGCTTTCACACACAGCATCTACTCACAGCACCCTCACACACACACACACACACACATCAATATATGTGTGTGTATGTATATGTAAATATATATATATATATATATATATATATATATATATATATATACGGCTTGTGTGTTTGTGCTTTAGGGTGCACGCCTATGGTTGTGACTGAGTGTGTGGCCAGGGATGTGTCACGTATTTATCTGCTTATAAAAATGTGATTAATGGAATTTACTGTCCCGATAGGAAAAGTTGTGCCGAGCAGCAATCAAATCCACAGGAGGGTTTGTGCTGAGCAGCAATTTTGCAAATGGGAACCTGGTAACTGCCTTTGAGGTCAAAGGCCGATTACAGCCTATCAGATCCAGAGGAGGGGTATTTAGGCCCTGCTGAGTGCCCTGTCGTGGTTTCCCTTGTGGTTGTCCGAGAGCAAATTATTGATTCTGGTAATTCTGGTTATTTGACTTTGGAATTGTTTTTGACTTCCCTGTTTAATGGAATCCCTGACCCCTGGCTTTTCCTTATCGTTGTGTCTCTTTCTGTATCCCTTGACCTCGGCTATTCCTGACTATTCTTTGGTATGTTAGTCCGTCCATTCTAAGGTCCGGTTTACGTTACCTATAAGTGCTCTGTGCTACACAATTCTATGTGCTGGATCATACTGTAATCCTGACAGGATGGGGGTGTTCTGAGAAATTGTTGGTGGCTTACTAATAACAATTTATGCAACTAAAATTTAATTTAGAACAAAAAAACTGTATCTTATTTACACAGACTGATTTCCAAACACGTTGTAGTTTAAAGAAACATTGCTGTAAATATTATTGCTGTGGAGCTCTATTAAACACTCAGACACACCAGCAATTAGGAGCTTCTATGAAATAGGGGTAGCATGAAAAAAAGAGGGACAGAGGGATTTGAGCCCAAAGTAGGGACTGCCCTACCTAAATAGGGACACTTGGGAGGTATGTCCACAGATTGAACTACAAAATAGTTGTAACTCTTTAAGACTGATTATTGCAAGAGCACTTTATACATTTTAATTATTGTTGGCTCTCTTGTTGCGCATGCCTTAGTAATAAAGGGCATTAGCATGTTTTACACTCATTAAACTAATTTATCATATGCTGATACCACAACTGCTCTTTTACTCAAAATTAAAGGAACTATCCTAGATATCTCATTAAAACTCTTACACTTATATGTAACATGTGTTCACAACACCACATAGTATACATACATAATATAGCATTCATAGCTGTGGTGGTTTGTTATGTTAAAATTCTTCTCCTAGCATTTTATTTGAAGGTCCATGGAAACTTAAAAGGACCAAATTTCTACATAATATTTTCCAAGAGACAGTGAAGGGGTAAAAGGTGAAACTTATATGAGCTCTACTATGGATGTTTATGTCAGGATTTATCTTGCCTGAAATGTTTACTTCTTAATAAATCTACCCTACAGTGAGAACATCCATAAAGACATGATAAATGCTTTTAATAACTGCATGGCACCTTAAAGGAGACATTTTATGTTCTGAGTCTTTTTTCCTTTCCAAAACCAAACTGGTGAATATAGTTTTGAGAGAAAAGGTAGGTAGAGGATATTATAAAATAGACTTGGCTTTGATGACAGAAATGAATTGGCAACACATTATGAATAATTGAACAAGGGATATTCATATCTTACAGGATTCCAGTTATGCACAGTCTATAGAACACAAAGCTAATATTTTTTATTCCTCTTACAACAGGCTTACATCATTATTCTGCATGGGTATATAAAGTAAGTAGCCTATACATACAAATGACATTTTCCAATTTCTGTTCAGAATATTCCCAGCATCCCTTGACCAATTATAACACTACCTTGTCATGAATCGGCCATATCTTAAGTAAAATAAACTTTTAATTAGCTTCTGTTTTAATGCATAAAATAAAAATACTTATACATTGAATTTAATGATAAATTATGTACCACACCCATGGTTCCTCAAATATCTACGAGGCTCTCTTAAAATGTTTGGTAATTTTGTGGTTTTTGACACCAGCAAAAGCTATAATTCCACACACATGGGAATCCCCAGCAGTCCAGCTGTTCCACTTGTGGGTGGAGGCAGTTGAGGAAATTGGACAGTTGGAGGATCTGATGGTCCAAGATCTCTAGCAGAGGGAGAGGTACATGGCGAGATGGTTTTATTGGCTGTAGTTCATTTCTCCTCTGGAGTTTGTGCATCAGAAATGGGTTTATCCACCTGAAGTAATGTGTGATGGGGCGGCTGTGGATCTTCTATTTCTTAGTTGCAGTGGGCCTTGTGGCTGGTCTTTAAGGGATACTGGATCCTCATTCTTTGGGGTTAGAGGTCACTCCTTGTTCAACCCTAGGGTGTTGGGGTGTGAGTTTTTTAATCTTCTTCTTTATTCTCTCTCTCTCTTTCTCCCTTTCACTGCACTTGCCCTCAATCTTTGTTTCTCTCTTTCCCTCTCTTCTCAACAACTACCCTCTTTCCCATGTGTGTGAATGTCCTCTACATACACACCTAGTACCTAACTGCATCCACCATTAAATTCCAGAGCTGAGCCCTAGAAAGTTTATACCCAGGATTTTTACCGTGTTTGAAATTGAAATGAGTTAGAGGAGTTGATGCTACTGAATTATCTGACTGCGTGACTTACATTATTGCCTTGCAGATATTTTTCTCAATCAAAATTTTTTTTTTTACCATAAAATATGTAGTACCCTTTTACATTTACACCATATCAGAGATGCCATTTATTTCATGTGAACAACAGGAAACAGACAAAGATCATGCGAAAAGGTGTTATACAGAGTTACAAAGATATTTCTGTTATGATCACAAGAGTATTGAGTCTGTGACGCCATAAAATTGATTACATTTAGGTACAGTAACATTCAGCATTAGTAAATTGCAAGAATAAATAGTTAATAATTTAGCATTTTAAGGAAATTTGGCATTTTTTTATTTGACTATATTTAGCTCCACTGATATTAGCTACATATGCACATATAGAGAATTTGACGTAGTTTGGGGTCAATTTAAAGTTGGTTTCTAGTGTTCAAGGTTCTATTCTCAGCATCAATGCATAAAACATAATGTGATCTGTTCACACAGAATAAGTCTGAACAAGATTTCACTACACACACAAGATTCAATACATGGTCGTGAAACAATACAGCACGATTACTCATGGTGTGATTTTGGCCAGTTTATGGATCAGAGCAAAGGAAACAACAAAATGCATCTCTTGAGTATGCTTATAGTGACGATGATAATAATAATAATAGATATTGGAACAATTTGCTGCAGTAGGAAGCTATGAATTGGGAGTGAAAACAGAAGATTGGTTCAACTGATACCTTGGTGCTCATCAGACATAGGAACTAACTACAGATATAGAGGTCTCTCCACATCATCCACTAAATGCAACTTAGCAAGTCTTCTGCTGGACAGGTGTTTGGATGCTATCAGCCACGTAGATTTGTTTGCATTAGAAGATGATCAAACACACATTTAAAAGAAAAATATCCTTTCATCCATTTGAAAATGGATTCTGATAGGCTGATACTATAAAAGGAGACTAATGAGAGGGTTCCAAGTCATATATGATGTCATGATGATGCACCAGGAAGCTAGGGATGAGTGGGTGTTCATCGGAACTCAGAAAATACAGGTAGTGTGACATCTGTGTACAGTATTGCAACAATATCAGTTCGAAATATAATCATATACTCACATGTGCCTGTTAAGGAAGAAATTTTGTTGTAAGTGATCTTTTACTGTTTTACTGTTTTTTACTTTTTTTGTAAAACAGTTTTTTTTTTAGAGCTGTGGCTCAGCTACTTGTATTTGACAATATTGACTAACACTGACACCACTGACTAACATAGACAGTTTTTTTTTTTTTTTTATGTATCATTCACTGACATTGATAATATGTCATTAACATTATAGTTATAAGTCATAAGACAAAGAGTAAAGAAAAAAGGCTCAAATTTATATTTGAATAAAGCAAACTACCATTTTGTGAGCGGATTCTATTATCAATTTTGTATGATTTTATCCTTTGGCAATTTCTTGTGGGGTGGAATTGTCTAAATCCTACACCTATATTCTAATTATTTATAGATGGATTGTGCGGTATATTACATATATATGGTTTATCATCTAGATAGGTCAAATTGAAACCTACAATGTTAAGGACATGGGTCATTTTAGACTACAATGGTTATTAAGCCACGTGTTAAGTCCAAATTTGTGCCACATTTCTTTTTTAGTTGGTCCCTATCAAGTGTCCTTAATAAATTGGTTGCTGTATCAGCACTTCCTACCCAATGCAATAGAAACATTTATGACACTGTGAATAATGTAATAAAAATGTTTTGCAGAATTAATAGTATGGATAATGTCATAAATTTTGAATTGAAGAATAGGTTTCTAAGTGGATGCCATGAATTTTTTTTTTAGGAACCTGTGAAAAAGGTTAAGAACCTCTGAATTAGATAATATATACCACACAGAATTGTCTCAAAAGCAGTTAGCTTATTTACTAGTGCTCAACACAGTTCATTTTACTTGTCACAATTCATTTTTTCTTTCACTTATTTTTGGTTGACGAAAAACAAGTCAAGCTTTGAGGAATAGTATGAGGAATAGATGGCTAGGGGCTTGTGGAATCCTAACTACTTGGAAAGGGTTGGAAGGAGAAGTTTAACTCAGAATGACCTGGAACAAGGCATTCCATAGTCCAATTTGACATAAGGGGGATTTTTTTATTATTATAAAGAGTGGATTTGGAAGCTTCTGGCCCTATATGTATAAGGACCTATTGACTACGAAGCCATTTGTCCCATTATTAGTGGAATAGCGGGCTTGGCGACCCCATGCCCTGTTATATTACTCTCCACCCCACCTCACTGGGGTGCCCTCTCAGGCTCTTTTTAGTGTATTATTATCCTCCATTCATTGCAAATATGGCAGAGGAAGTGGTAGATTGCCTATTCAGTTTATCTCATTCCTACGCCAACCTGCACCTTCCTCCCATGCACCTGGTTTTAAATTACATGCTAGGATGTTTTGTGATGATTCCCTTTTATTCCAGAAGTTTGGTCCTTAAGGGGTTAAAATTGTGCTAAAATGGCTGCAAACAGCAAATAGGTTTTGATGTTTGTACCTAGAATTGATTCAGCAATTAGGCACATTCCAATGGTCTTTACCAGCAAAACCTTTACTTATGCCAAGAAAAAACAAATGCTGAAAAAGAGTTCCTCTTGAAAATCAGCAAGAAGGCTTCTTAATAGTAAATAACATGTCTCCCCCCCCCCCCGAATTGAAAATGAAAATATACCCTAGCACCACAAGTGACACATTTCCGGCTACCACGCCGTAGTTTATGACAGTCCATACCCCTCATGACCAGCCAATTCCACACAGAGATCGTTTCCTCACACGACTACTTCTAAGCGCAACTACGATGAAGCCTGGTCTGGAGAGACCTACAGGGAACTATTTACGTTCCCAAACCCATTCTTACTTACTTTAGTTAAAATTGCCTTTAGAATGCAATAATGTTTGGAAACCATCTTACCTGATCACAAAATTGGAAGGACATGCAAAACTCACCAGCCTCCCTTACGCAACTACTTGTACTAATTTATGCTGTTATGCAAAGGTCCTGCGAGACCAAAGGTTTTCCACTGCATTAGAGACCTCAAGTCTCAGGTTACTTTGACGATCTTTTTCTTTCTATTCTATTAATAATAAAATAAAAACATGATATATTGTGTAATATAGAGTGTGTGATAAAGAGTGTGTAATACAGAGGCAGGCACAGTGCAGGGATTGGATTGCACCCTGGTTAACTCTTTAAATTAAGCCAAGTAACAGTGACAGAATTCTCTGGTATTGAATGCACCTGGTAAAGAATGTGGTCAATCAAAGCTAAATGTAGAGACTGACAGGAATTTACAGATTATTGTCAGATACATTTCTAGTATGTCTGAAGAACAAGGTGTGACAATTTCCATGGAAACCAAAGAAATAAGTAGGCACATTAAAAAAAAAATAATAATTCCCCGTTTAGAACCAAATACTTTGATAAATCCCACCAACAGTGTAAAAAGAGAGGGGATGCCATAGGAGGCCAGGTTAAGATATAAAACTTAAAAAACAAACAAAAAAAAACACATTTGCAAAACTAATAGATTTAAGCATGAAAAAAATACCTAATGACTATGAGTCAAAATATTTTTTTAAGCCAATCTGGTTTAACAAAATCTACTTGAAATTAAATGCAGAAAACTGACTTTACATTGTTTTTAATCTTAGCCTAGCATTACTAAGGAGATCATCACACCTAATGTGGTCATCCATAGTCCTCCAACAAATAAGTCTGCCCTGTTGGGATCTTTTCCATAATTTTCTATGCAAATAAATTTTAAAACATATATTGCCACGCTCATATAGGTATCATCTTCTGAACGAAATCTATTGAGCCATTGGTTGTTTTCTTTCATGGTGATATTAAGGCACCTGACCTGGAATTCTTCTTTATTTCTTGATAAATCAGACTGTCGAAGCCATGGGTAGTAAACACCATCTGGGAACATGGTGTAATTTGCAGCATACACTTGACTTTCCTTTTCTGTTAGGTTATATGGCAGTTCGAGGCGGTTATTTTCATAGAACAGTTGTCCGAGGGTGTAAACGGGAGAAGGGGCCTGCTTAGGTTTAGAGTTTTTGTTACCTATGGAACTTTTCCCACTTTTTCTTATTCTTCCGGTAGGTGACTGGTCACTGTGTTCAACCAGTAGGAGAAATATCAGCAATACAGTATGCCTGACCATTCTAATGCCACCTGTCAGAAAAGGAAACAGACTTAATCACAGAAACTGAGAAACACAGAATATGACAGCAAATGAGACCCAATTGGCCTAATCCAAGTTTTAAAGAAGATATTTTTTAACTTCAACTTTCATATTTCTTTGCTGACCTTATTACATAGTTACACAGTTACATAGTTAACATAGACTGTAAAGAAACGTGTCAATTAAGTTCAGCCTTTCTTATATCTGTGTTTAAACCTACCCGCCCCCCCAGTATGAATCCCTTCCAATTTTGTAACAAATTAGGAAAAATATTCCTTGCTGACCCAAAAAACTACTACCCCACAGTTGAAAATTTTTATCATTGAATATTATATTTTTGCAAGTATTATTCATGCTCCAACTTTTAAAACACTACAAAGAAAGTCAGCTGAAATGGTACTTTTTCATTAGGAGATAATTTGTCAAAGTCTGGGGACAAATTAAGGTGAAAATGTGATTGGAACAAATCTATATATATGGAAATGAAAGCAACAATGACAGGTTACATTATCTATATGAAGAAATGAACATCTTTAGATTTATATATCCTGCACAGGGACAAATAATCCATAGTGGCACATTTTGGTTTTGCTATATCTATACATTCAGTTGCATATCTTTTGTTCCCCCTAACAGTTATTCTTACTAATTTACATTCAGCTTACTACTCCTGTGTGTTGCAGAAAATTCACACTGACTTCAATACTGGTAGAGATATAGGATTTTACGGGTGGGTTGAGTAAACTCAATCAAAATTAACATTTTAACATGGTTATTATAATTTTTCCAATCTACATCAAACCTGCAGGTGGCGAATTCTTGGGTAGTTTACTACACCTCGTTTTTGTGTAACAACCTATATGCCAAAGCACTCTCCTGTTGGCAGGTAACTGAATTATACTTCATTTGCAAAATGCAGCCTATGTACTAAACATCTGCTACAACAGAATAAGCTATCTAAGCTAAGTCAAACACCAGCAGATAACCACTCTATACCTGGGTTGCGAATCAAAACCTACTCCAGATGTTTTGGACTACACCTCCCATGGTGCTTTGCCAGCATTATGGGTGTAAAAGCATTATGGGGGATGTAGTACACAACATCTGGAGTGCCAAAGGTTGCCTACCTCTGTATTAGGCCATTATTTCCAATTCTGTTACAGGCTAGCTTTTATTTCTAGCTATTTCTTAGCTAATAAAACTGCTGTTTTTTAGTTAGTGTGATTAGGGTTAATCCCTCTCTTTGTATACTGCTGGAGACAGGGAGCCTCATCTATGTTTGTAATTTTGTTATCTTATATATACACTAAACTATTTTGCTTTTAATTGTAAACTGTAATTGTAGAAATAGCTATTTGTCAGAGAAAATAATATATGTAGTTATGCATTTTAATTATTTTATTGCTTGTTCTTTATACAGATGCAGCCATAGATCTGTCTTGAAACATCATGTGTGGCTCCATGCCACATTATTATTTTGATTCCAATGACCCCATGCCCTAAAGGGAGACAGAAAAAAAAGGGGGAGGGAGGCACATCCAAAAAAAGAATTTGGTCACAATTTCGGAAAAAAGATGGGTCCATATGCTGAATGCTGCCCTTTTAAACTTCTACGGTTTTTGTTTCTTTTATAGATGTTTGCCAGGTCAGTATGAAATGAGGATTATTCACAAAAATAGAGTTTGCAGGAATCGATGACCTGCAAACTTTTTTTGACCTAGGGATAAGCATAACCACCTAGCAAAGCTGCACAGCAACAGCGTTTTAGCCAATCAGGTGATCAGGACAACCGTGCAGCATGCGGCAGGCCTGATCACCTAAGATTTTAAAATCGGGATACTGCAGATGGTTGACTCACCAAGAGACAAATAACCCCCTAATGTAGGAAAGATATCAATGTACACGGTACTAAACATAACAAAGGAAAAGAGCACCAATGTCAATGTAAGGGGGATAACAATGTTTTATTTACTCAACCAAGCATGAACTTACTCCTATGAAAGGGTTATGTCAACAGAGTGGAAAGGCAATATAATAAAGTAACAATAAATAATAAACATTTCTGAAGTACTGACAATTAATAGTAACATGAACATGTAACAAAACAATCTTTGATCATCAAGGTGAAAAACAAACAGTCTCTGTGAGAAATATTAGTATAGTATAACTCATAATCAAAGAACTTCTGGAAGAAGTTTCTTAGCCTCCATAACTATTTAGGAGGGTCCATGGCTTAATTATCCTGTCTGGGTAGCCGGTTGTAATCTGTAAAGATAAACAGAATAAATATAAATATATAAGCGAAAAAGAAAACAAACACAAAATTACTTTAATTAGAAGATTCCCAAACCAGAGAAATACCCTGCCACCACCAGGCAATAGAAACAAACCTGGGGAGGGAGGAATGGGCGCTTTGCTTGGTGGTTATGCTTATCCCTAGGACAAAAAAAGTTTGCAGGTCATCGATTCCTGCAAACTCTATCTTGTCCCTCCGGGAGGCATAACCACCTAGCAAAGCTAGTGGATTGAATAGCACACATCTGGTGGTGGTCCTAATGAACTGCAAATGTTCAACTTCAGATGGCCTCCAGTAAAACTTAACGACAGTCTTACTGGAAGACAATCTTGCAGCTTTAAGGATAATAGGAAGAGGAAGGCCTCTCGCTGCTGCTTTTAAAGCCGTAGCCCCTCTGATAGAATGACCCTTAAAAACCGTGACATTAATACCCGCTGCAGACATAGCGGACAGTATCCAACCCCTGATCGTGTTAACCTTAACTGGCCGAAAAGTTTTTCTGGAGGTGATAAGTAATTGCATAAAGTCTTATTTGACTGGGGCAGAAAGATTCAAGTATGAATTTAACAAATTAACTAAGCATAAACTCGGCTCAGCTGAATTCTGCACCAAATCTAGTTCTACATGTCCCAGGAAAATATAGGAAGTCTTCTGTCTCCCTTTAAGAATGACATGAAATCCCCCTGGAGTTCGAGACAACCATGGTTTGACAATATTTAGCTGGGTTAATTCTGAGCCTCTAGCTGCCAGAGCTAAAGCTAGAAGGGATGCCAATTTAATCGTCATCCATCTTAGGCCAATCTGGTCACTGTCCAGAGAATTAAGGTAGTTTAATAAAAGGTCTACAAGTGGAAGTGTATCTCGGAGTAAAAGGCCAGCAGACTGGTAGCCCTTTTGAGTAACCTGAGGTAAAGGGCGTCTTGGGTCAAATTAGGGATTCGAAAATTTAATGCAGAACCATACGTCTTAATCGTACTGACCGCTAACTCTGAATGATATTTGAGCGTGAGGAATTCCAAAGCTAAGGGAATTATTTCAGATTCTTGGGAAAGGGAATTAAAGGAAACTTCCCATGCTTTAAATTCCTCGATCATCTTTTTGTATCTTACCCTGGTCCTGCACCATAATGAAGAATTAACTATGTTTAAAACCCCGTCAGACAGAAGAGGATGCGTTAAATGCCTATCAGGGCTGCCATCCACATAAGTTAGGGGAGCTCGGTTAAGAGATCCCTGGTCCCTAGGAAGCAATGCACTGTCCAGGCTAATGGAACCTTTGGTCCCCTTATTAGATGTTAAATCAGGGGGTACCATGGTCTGGATATTTAAATGGGGTACACTAAAACCAGATTGGGCACCCTGTCCCTGCGAAGTTTCTTTAACACCTTCATCAGAATAGATGGAGGGGGAAAAGCATAAAGGCCCGGAATGTCTGTCCATTGGAAGGACATAGCATCCATCTTCTAAGCTCCTTTTGCCCAAGTCCTGGTTACAAATTTGGGAGTCTGAGCCGAGGTCTGAGATGCAAAAAGATCTATTTGTCTCTTGCCCAATCTGCTCCCTATCAGCTGAAATAAGGCACTCTTTAACTGGACTGTAGCAAGGGACAAACACTGGTAGGACGGGGAATCCGCCAGTTCGTTTTCCTCTCCTGGTATGTGAACTGCCAAAATTCGAACCTTGTAAACCAGAGCCCAGGACCACAGGTCCAAGACCTCTAGGCAAAGACCTTTTGACCTGGTGCCCCCTCTGCGGTTGACATAAGCTACTGCTGTCCTAGGGGATTCAATGGAATGAGGCATTGGAGGGCTAATCTGATTGCTCTTAACTGTAGTAAGTTTATGTGGAGAAGCCTTTCTTGAACTGCTCAATCTCTTATCGCGCCTTGGACAGAGAAAGCACCCCATCCCTTGGTAGAAGCATCTGTGGTCAAGGTTAACTCGAAAGGCCCTTTCAGAAGGGGGTGAGGATGTGGACTTGCCCCTACCAATTTCTTGTTTAGCTCTTTTCTGACTCTCGTGGGAAGGACCACCCTTGACCCCCACTGGCCACTTCATCTGCACAGCAAGGGGGAAGCATTGTAAACCGGTGTTAAAGCTATCAGCCTCCCAATAGTCTCTTAGGGACCATCTGTGTTTTAAAAGAGCTGAAGTTAACTGAGCTAGGATTTTTTCCCATTTGTTTCAGGGAACACCCAAGGTCATATCCATAGTGTTCAGAATGAAACCCAAAAATAGGATATTCCAAGTATGGACTATTATGGATTTTTGCAAATTTACAGTAAACATCAGATCCTGTAATAAGGAAATTAGGTAATCTCTTTGCTGAACGAGAGCATCTACCTAAGGATTCAACAACAGGATGTCGTCTAAGTAATAAGGGCATAGAAATCCTCTTTGCCTGACGTGGGATATAATAGCTTTCATTATCTTGGAAAATGTGTAAGGTGCATTGGATAGGCCAAACACCATTACAGTCCAGTGATATATCTGTTCCTTCCAGCGGAATCTGAGAAAGCGCCTGTGTTTTATAGCGATAGGAACTGAATGGAAAGCATTTTTGAGGTCTAATTTTATGCAGAAGACATTTTTCTGCACTAGGCCTGGGAGGTCTGTTAAACCTTCCATCCTGAATCTTTTCCTCTTTAGGAAAGCATTCAAAGCCTTGATGTTTAGTACTGGTCTCCACGTGCCATCTGATTTTTGGAATAGGGAACAAGGGACTGATGCAACCTGAAATTGACAAATCTGCCAATTCTATTTTTCCCTGAGCTAATGTCTGGGAAAGAAAAGAATCTAGAACTGGATTTACCTCTCTGCCCAGAGCTTGACTCTGGAAAGAAAACTGAATGAGAGGGAGTTGTAAACCCCTTTTGAAAATCTTAAGCACCCATTTGTCTGAGGTTATATCTGACCAATTTTGAGGGATGTGAGGTAAACCACTTACTTGACTGCATGGGTCTTCGGTTTCCTGATGAGCCATGTCTGGCATGGGCTCCTCTGCTACTGCCTGGGGGTCTTGACTTTCCCCCATGGTGACGAAAGTGGGCTTGCTGAGTAACTTCCCGTGATGTACCTGTAGCCCTGTAGGAACGACCCTCAGTCTGAAAGGGCTTCTTGTAGCTTGGAAAGCTCTTCTTTAAATCAGAGAAAGATCTCCTAGCTTTATATCGTCCTTTCACCTCTTCTCTTGTATAAAAGAGGGGCCAAATAGAAAAGGAGTTTTCAAAATTAGTGAAATTCATATGATTTAGGTGCTAAATCAGACATCCCTGCTGCATGCAGCCAGCGGGTTCTGCGAATGTTAGAAATATAGTTGAAGGATTGACCGATAATAAGCACCACTCTACTGGAAGCTTTTAGAAGCGCCATCTTAGAAGCCATTAAAGCTGGTAGGGAAGGGTTATGAGAGGATCCCTCCTTCTCTGCCCTATCCAACATAAGCAGCAGGGGACCAACAACATCCACAATTTTAAATTGTACATTGCAAAATGTCTGATCCATGGGATCTGCAGAAACACTGCTTCCTGTAATGGATAACAGTGCTGGATCAATTTCAGGGGCCATTAGTGCCTGAATGTCAGGGATACCAATAAGATTTCTAAGGAGGAGATCATCCTCTTTAACTAGCAGTGATCTGGAAGCTAGTTTGGCAAAATCCCTGACTTCTGATTCTTGTTAGATGGCCCTTCTTGAATGGAATAATTTTGAAGGGAGCACTTTACCTAAAAGGCTCACTATGTCCATCTGAATGTTGCTCAACTTCCCTTGTTCAGTGGAAGCTGCAGAGTGAACCACCTCCTCGCACTCCCAATCAATCTCTGGTGATCCCTGTCTGAAGCAGGACCGGCTTAGGGAGGATGAATGAGCAAACGCTCTTGAGGTGGACGGTGAGGGAATGACAGCACTCAAACAAGTCTTATCCCTTTTGTGTGAAAACTTCTTTGAAACCTCAAACAAGGGAAAAACATGTTTCACTTTTGGAGGTACTGTCCCTTTAAAACATCGACTAACTACTCAAACGAGAATGAGTGGAAGAGTGACCAAAATCAAGTTCATCCTCAGAACCTGAAGACTAAAGGCAAGCCTTCTTTTTTCTTTTACTAACTGGGACTATATCCTCCTCATAAGATGAAGAGGATAGGTCACTGGCCAGGAAGGCTCTCTTATGGAGCCTTCTAACATTGATGGGGCTTTCTCTAGGAGAGACAGCCACCATATCTGTGGCAGACATAGAAATAGAGTCCTCCATCAACGTTGGCATTTTACAATCTGAGGTGATCAGGGCTGCTGCAAACTGCATGGCTGTCCTGATCACCTGATTGGCTAAAACGCTGTTGCTGTGCAGGAGCATAGCACAAGCGATTTTTTTAGCACGGCAAAATATTTATCTGGGAGGCTGCCACATAACCACTAGCTTTGCTAGGTGGTTATGCCTCCCGGAGGGACAAACATGGACTTGATCTGCAACATTTAAGCCAACATATGGGATTTAGAAGAAATGAGTGGATCAGAAGATATTACCAGCTCTTTTTTCTTAACTTAAAATTTGCATATATATCGTCATCACACAAATACAGACTATTAGTGAAAATCCCCTATTGTATTGTATTGAGGGGATAACAAACAATTATTGGTTTCAAATTGATGTTGCTCATAAACAGGATCGTTTGAATGATCTGAGGCAGGAATGGATGAGCCCTAAAATAGATGTTCTCTTGATAGTTTTCAATAAGAGTCTCCTTTTTCTTTACAGCATGGTACCCTCTCTCGATAAATGGATGTCATTGTGTTGACTCATGCATGGATACTAACAGTATTCCAGATATAAAAATAGCAGCTATTTAATTGTATTTTTTTCTCAATATAGAACAAATAGCTTGACTGTTGCGTGGATTTGCACCATGTTTTATTACACATCAACTGAGGAATTAGATATTGCAACAGAATTGTATCCATTAATTAGGCAGCATTTGCCATAGTATGAAATGTTGTCTGCTCCTCTGAGGACCGTTTAACTTTTTCACAGCTATTCACTAAAGTCTGAATGGCCCTGTACTTAATGGGGCAAAACCATCTGGCAGCATACAGAGTCATTTTGACTGCAAAATCTGGAAGCGTTGCAAAATTTAGACATTGTAAAATAGTGTGAACAATATCTGAATTTCATAATGTTTCCAGATAGCTGAAATCCGGACCCAAATGTTTAAAATCCAGACCCCAATGCATCTGGTGCCAGATTTAAAAAAAAACCAAACACAGAACTATTTGCCTGCAGACAGCAGCCAGTGGACATATATTTTAAAGGTTACTCCAACCCTTGTTTTCTTTTCTTCTTATAATGCCCTATTGAGCATTATTCTTTACGTTCACCCCAACCCTCCCTCCCCCCCCAAAAAAAACACTGGAAAAAGTTTTAGAATAAGTTTTACTTACTTTAATTCAACGCCGGGCCAAGCTCACAGCACTTCTTGACAGGCTCATATGTGATGTCATGGCAGCCGCACAGAGGTCTAATCAAAGGCTTCTTAAAGGTTAATTAATTATTGAAAATGGCTTTCGGGGTTACTAAGACCTCCATAGGACTATAAGGGAGGTATTAAAGCTCTATATTCCCTAATCTGCCACGTGGCAGAACCAGCATGCATTACATCCTTATGCTCCCTGCACATACCCATAATCAGCTGTTGTAGCCTACTTACTAGAAGGGGTACACCTAAAGCCACCTCTCCAGCTCTCATCCATTAGTGGCTGGTGAGGACTATTATAATATTAAGAGGATATCTAATGTCTCCACTCCAGCCCTCACCCATTAGCAGTGATAAATGGATAAATGGTAGATACAGTGCAGTGCCTACTCACTATAAAGGGTACACCCAAATCCACCTCTCCAGCTCTCACCCATTATTCGCTGGTGAGGGCTATTATAGTATAAAAGTGACTCTCTAGTGCCAGGAAAACAACCCAGTATCCTGGCACTAGAGAATCCTGGAGTGCCCAACCTATCCTGCCCCATTATTCAATGCTTTCCTATGGGGAAAATCTGATGCTGGAGGTTCGTGAGGACGTCCAGCGTCAAATAACCGACCATTGGTTGCTTTGGATTCTGGAAGCCCTCTAGTGGCTGTCTGGTAAACAGCCACAGAGGGCAGACTTAGAGATGCAATGTAAACATTGAAGTTCTCTGGAACTGCAATGTTTTACATTGCAGCACTAAGTGCAAAGGGTCACAGCACCCAGACCACTTCAATTGGCTGAAGTGGTCTGGGTGTCTGGAGTGTCCCTTTAAGGGGAGATCTAATGTCTCCACTCCAGCTCTCACCCTTTAGCAATGGGTGGAGGCTCTAATTCTGATACTCAAAGGGAGCTAGTGCCCTCCCCCCCCCTGGGTGGTGATTCTGATTATAATATATAATGGAGTGTGGATTTGCCGTTGACTCCCTCCTTGCAGGGCCGGATTAACATTGGGGCTGATGGAGCTGCAGCTCCAGGCTCATGGAATAGGCCCATTGATTTGAAAAAAAAAAAAAATATATATATATATATATTTTTACACATTATCCTTAGGGTTGCCACCTGACTGGTATTTTATGGTATTTCAGTCTGCCTGTATTGCAGTAAAAGCAGCAATACAAATGCCGGCATATTTCTATGTATAAACAGAGATTACTCTGCAATACCTGCGCCGGCCATAGGGGTCACTGTGTGTGGAGAGAGGCAGGGATAGGAAGTTACAGCATCTCCCTGCCTCTCTCTACTCATTGATCTGTAGTGGAGCAGCTACACTGCACACAGCACGGAGAGTCCAGACAGTAGCTCCCAGCCTGCAGAGACAGCTTACAGCTCAGGGAAGTGAGGGATGGGGTAAAGGCTGCAGGGAGACATGGGGACACTGGGAGACACTAGGGGGCACTGGGTAAACTGGGAACACTGATAGACCTTGGGACACTGGAAGATCAGGGGACACTGGAGACATGGGGACACTGAGACATTAGGGGATGCTGTGAGACACTAGGCACTTGGGGACACTGGGAGACATGGGGACACTGAGACACTGTGTCCCTAGCGTCTGTGTCCCCATGTCTCCCAATGTCCCCAAGTCTCTCAGTGTCTCCATATCACCCAGCCAGTGTCCCTAGTGTCTCCCAGTGTCCCAATGTCTCACAGTGTTTTCATGTCTCTTGAGTGTCCCCTAGTGTCCAAGTGCCACTGGACAACATGGGGATATGAGGGGGCACTGAGACACATGAGGCACTGAGACATTGTGATACATAGCGACACTGTGATACGTAGAAGACACTGAGAAATGGGGACACTGGGACACATGGGGCACTGAAACACTGTAATACATAGGGGACACAGAGACTAGGGGATACTGGGAGACTAGGGGACACTAAGACACAGGGGAAAAACTAGGAACAATCCATCTTTTATTCAGCAGCATAAATGTAAGTAGTTTTTTGGTGATTTTACAGAATTTTCTCTTCGGTCACTCCTTGTGATTTACACGCACACATAATTAATTATGCCGGTATTTTTTTCCAAGAAAGGTAGCAACCCTTACTATCCTTCACATACTCTTGCTTAAGCATGGAAACTTTAGAGGGATGTATGGGAACAAAACATGTGTGGACTGGCTGACAATGAAATTAGTTAAGGTAAAGCTGACTTTGCTCACTATGCAAATACTCTTGCTCCTTCAGTCTCTCTAACACTGTGGCATGTTCCCTTTCTTCAACATTCACTACATACAGCTTTCATCTGTCCCAGACTATATACCAGGAGCTTATGCCTGCTAGTAAGGAGGTTAGGAGAGGATTGGATCAGCGAGTGCTAGGGGACAGTCCTTAGAAAACGTTGAGCGAACTCATAATTAGACGCATTTATGCCAAGCTCAGGGTGCTGTCTGTATAGTATGCCCTTAGTTGGCCAGCCTGCATGATTGTCAGGAAGCCTGAAATGCATTCATGCCAGGCTGGCCTTCCAATTCTTTAGGCAGACACGCCCCCTTTTTAAAGGCATGTTCGCCGCTTTCGGCAGTTCTGATTACATGATTTGCGTCCATTGACTGCCTGTCCATTGACTGCCTGCTTCACTAGACACTGCTGTTAGGGGTTATGGATTTACTTGAAAGATGAAAGCATAACTTAAAGAGAGATTAGCATAGAGTGTGTGCTTTCTCATAGCTGCATCCTATAAGTTTCCCTTTAGTTCCACTTCCGCCAGATACATGACGATTGGTAGGTATGACTTTTTTAGTGTTTTTGGTCGATAAGATTCTGTAATTAGGCCCATCATAATTGTCAGCACCAAGTTCACTGGGCTCTTAAAGGGGGGCATGAAATCTAATACATGTAAATAATGATAAACTGAAGTATTTCTTCTTAATATAGTAAATCTTAGTAAAACTTATTATCTTCAGCCCCAAAACAGGGGGAATGGAAAAAATAAACAATACAAGAGGAAACTCTAAAAAAACAAACAAAAAAAAAACAAGGCAGCACATGGCAGGTGAGACATATCGAGGTAAAATACCTCCATTATAGTAAAATAAGGGTCTTATTGACCCCATGGGATTTTTATTTATTAGTTTAAAAAAAAATACATATTTTTAAATGTGACAGCAGCAAGTGCTAGACAGCCATCACCAGTGGTGTATCCTGGTTTTGTGCTGCCCTAGGCATTTGGGGGCGGCTTTTTTGCCGCCCCCTGGAAAATGCCGCCAAAGCAAATGGCTTGTTTGCCTCGCGGCTAATACGTCCCTGGCCATCACACAATTAACCCTCCTGCTGTCGAAGATTTTGTTTTAAAACTATTTCCCCTCTGGCTGCTAGCCCTTCCAGCGGGTAAATAGTACTTCAAATGATCAATTTACTTGCAAATAGCAAGTGAATGATAATTTGTGAATGTGCATCCGGCTGGATTCATTAGTTTTATATTCAGTCACTATGCGCTCATTAATAAATGTCTGATTCCCGTGGTTCCTATGTGAATATTACTGATTTTTCGATCGTTTCCCAATGAATGATACAGATTCGGTCGGACCAATTGAATCCTGACCACACTTGGCTTTGGTAAATCTGTAATTTGCCAATGCGGTTGGAATTCAGTAATTTTAACAGGACATTTCCATTTGGACAAAATTCAGTGTTTAATGAATAACCTTGTTAGTGATTGTGGTGTTGAACCGAAGCCTTTCATCTATTTGGGCTTGGGTTGTTAACAAAGGTGGATTTACCTATAATGCTATTCCATGACACATACATTTTTCGACTTGAAAAGTTGAAATACTAATGAGGCTTAATTTTCTGAGTTAGTCCCAAGTCAGATGTTTGTGAATATTTTATTTGGTACTCTTTTCAATCAACATTCGTTTGCATCTATCTATAACATCTATCTGCCTGTTAATCTGTCTTTTATATCTGCAGCTTTCTGTGCTGCTGGAGTTGAAGTAATCAATACAATATTGTGTTTATTCCAACAGGATTTCCCCTGTGATCATTTAGTTAATCATCATTACTCACTTGCCTGAGCATGGATGGCAAATACTTACAAATCACATTAACATATACACAGGCAGGTGGCAGCTCTCTGTAAGACCTAAATAAGTGCATCTCGGTCACGATAGTTATTAATTTTATGGAGAAAAAAAGGGAGTTGGGGGCACACACCTGGAACATGCATTTCTCAGCAGTGGTGCTGCCGTATTGACCAACATTTATACAAAATACAGATTAAGGAACATTGCGCACTCCAAAAACAGTTTTAAATTTTAGAAGACTACTTAAAATCACCTATATCAGCAAACAATTATGGGGATTCAGTTCCTCCATTTGGCCCTATCGTGGTCCACCACTACTTCATAGTACTGCAATAATGGTGGGTCCTACACTAATTTTAAGTAAGAGTGCTTTGATATATATACTCACAATGTGTATATCTGCTCCATGTCAAATCAAAATGATCATTAATGTGACATTGCTATCCAAAACCTCCTCTAATTTATACTTTCCTGTGGTCACCTTTCAAATGGTCATGTGAAGCTGGAGGATGGGGCGGAGTGCTCAACCCAAATGAAAAATGGTATGGACGCCAAACATACATGGGGCATATACATCAAATGACTATCACTTTAATTATTTCGTTTTGACACAGTATTTTTTTAATTGTATTTTTTTATTACATTCATTTTTGTATTCACAATGCTTTTAATTAAATACACTTTCATTAATATAGCACTAGCACTATTTAATTTGTCTCCTGTGTTAAAATGAGTATAGGACCCAGCGATATTGCGATACTGTGGCACAGTGATGGGTTTAACATGATATGGCCATGTGTTGGAACTGAATCCCCCATATTTGTTTGCTGAGATATACATGTTATACCCCAGAAAAGAGCAGGTTTCAAATTATTATTATTATTATTATCATTTATATAGCGCCAACAGATTCCGTAGCGCTTTACAATATTTTGAGAGGGGGATGTAACAATAAATAGGACAATTACAAGAAAACTTACAGGAACAATAGGCTGAAGAGGATCCTGCTCAAACGAGCTTACAGACTATAGGAGGTGGGGACAAATCCGACCACTAGGGAATCCACTCGACTACCAGGCAAGGGATTATTGCCATTCCCCTTGTGGGAAGCTAGATACAGATCCACAGCCATTCTACACAACGTTACCCCCCAAACCCACCCTCTAGTCTTCTCACATACACTGTGACTTCTCCACATGCATTACCCCACTCACTTTGCCATATTCATCATCTCATTAAAGGGACCCTCCAGTGCCAGAAAAACATTTGTTTTCCTGGCACTGCAGGACCCTACAGTGCCCCTCTCCCTACCACCCACCATCCCAAGTTGCTGAAGAGGTTAAAACCCCTTCAGTGACTTACCGGAGTCCAGTGTCCCTATGGGGATTTTGGCTATGCTGGAGGTTCTCACATGAGTATGTCCAGCATCGCTTAAAACACTTTTTGTGTCCACTAGAGGAGGACTTAACCCTGCAAGGTAATTATTGCAGTTTATAAAAACTGCAATAATTACCTTGCAGGGTTAAGGGTGATGGGCGTTGGCACACAGACCACTCCAATGGGCAGAACTGATCGGGGGCCTGGAGTGTCCCTTTAAGGGTAATTTGGATAAATGGTAGATACAGTGCATGGTACAAACAGAAATAAATAAGTCACTTGATAAAAAGCAATGTAAAGGGGAGAAAATTGTGTCATTTTGGACTACACTTAATGTACCATTTTCCATTGGAAGCAGTAGGGTTCAACATGGTGCAAGTTAAATCCAGTATATACCAATTACTAAGTATATGTTGATTGAGAATAATAATGTTCTGGTCAGTTCGGAGAACATTTGAAATTAGGAGATCGTATCACTTCTTTCTAAATCAGTGTTTCTGCACCAACATTCCAAAGTATTTAGGTAAATTTACATTTTGTTTCAACAAAGATGCTGACAGTACCTGGATTGCTTGAGTACTAGTTGTATACAGATCTTAGAGAGCACCATAGGGCAGCCATCACTGCCCAGCAGGTTGCATCTTTTCCAAGTATTAGAAATTAAAAGTGCCATGTAATCTTGTTGGAGTATTTATGGGGTTTATTTTCTGAACAGGGAATTAGAAAGTGAATGTAAAAAAAAAAAAAACAGAACCAAGAAATATATACAAATATATGTAGACCCTTCAAATAGTGCAACAAAAATAAAAGTAGCAACTACCAAAATGTGAAAACAAAAATCATCCCTAATACCCTATAATTCAGTGATGCGCTAAATTTGAATACCTATAATCTTCATTGATCTCTCACAATCTATATAAAATAATACAAAACTAGGTAGTGCAGACAATCTATATACCATAAATACACACACCAATAAAATGAAAAAAAAAAATCACACTCACATAAACCAGAGCTCCTTCATCTCACCACCAGGAAATCCGCTAGACTGCCAGGGAATGGATTATTGCCATTCCCCGTGTTGGAAGCTAGATACAGACATACAGCCTATCTAATCAAAGTTACCCCTCACACTCAACCCCCATGCATAGTCACCTTCCCACACTTAACCCCTAGTCATCCGACACACACAGTCACATCTCTACATGCATTCCCCCACTCACTTTGCCACAGTCACCCCACACACAGTCACTTTTCTGCACACAATTATCTTGTCACAGTCACCCCAAGACACCCCCAAATCTGTGAACTCACTCAAGATTCTACCCAGAGACAGCTCCCCCTTTTAAAAATAAATTTCTCTATGTAGTCTAGTGAAGGGTTGTGTCTTGCCTGAGATTAATGGTATTACACACGCTGCTTGGGAATATACCATGTACAGGAGGCAGGGATGTATTTACCACAAGACAAACAAGGCATTTGCATAGGGTGGCACTTTCAGGGGGGGGCACCAAAAATGCCACCCCAAGCTCCCAGACAAATGTCTTGTTTGCCTTGTGTTCTGGGGCTGTCCACCTTACTGTGAGTGAGTGAGTGACTGAGTGAGTGAGGCAGTGTGTCTGTGAGGATGGGTGTGCCTGTGAGTGTGTGTCAGTGTGTGTATGTCATTTTATGTGTATCTGAGAGTGTGTGCCTGGTTAAACAGTGTGTGCCAATGACTGTATGTGTATGCCAATGACTGTGTATCTGTCAGTGAGTGTATATCAGTGCATGTATCAATAAGGGCATGTGTCTGTCAGTCAAAAAAATGGCCTTGACATGAATTGAGGGGGCAAATTTAGATTTTGGGGGTGCCCGAATTTAGTCGTGCCTAGGGCAGCACAAATCCAAAATACACCACAAACTGGAGGTCATCAATTCAGTTGTTCAGCATGGATGACATAAGATTGTCCAGTTTGGAGGCTCCTAAGCCTTTGCTGCACTAGGATGTGCGTATCCTTGTCTGTCTGAGATTAGAGAGTTACAGCTACTGATCCAATTTTAATTAACTTCTCTCACAAACAAAATCCTTGGGGCTGCTAAAATAGCTGACATCTTAGACTATAGCTCCCATTAATCTCAGGAAGCACTGGGATATGCATTCCCCATGCTGCCCAAACAGTAAACACCTTCCCTATATCCTTATACTGCCCTACCCTGAATCCCTACATTTCTTCTTATAACTGTTACTCTAGCTTTAACCTCAACACATAGAATACGATAAAAATGTCATGTAGTATAAAAGATACATAACAATGAAGCATGAGTTGTATGAAAAACATTATGTCTCTGATTTTGTGGTTTATTATTATGTCTTACAAAACTGTTTGATGGCGTTTCCCCATATTACAGCACAATGTGCCAGTCATGTGCACACACAAACACACATACACCTATAATGGCCTTACCTGCTGTGTAGCTGGCTATGTGTCGAAAGTCAGATTGAAAGAAAATACCACATAGACACACAGTCTGTCTATATACTCCAGACAGGAGGAGGTTTTCAAATATGAACATGGCATCTCATTTAGTATTTCCACTAACACCTCTTTAACCCTTCCCAGGCATTAACATAGAGACATTCACTCTATGAGATTTAGAGAATTAATTGAAATGTGACATTTCATGATCCACTTAGTGAACATTAAATCTCAAATAACCATTAAGAATGCATAAAATAGCATGGTTATTGAGAATTGTATTTAACTAATCTGTATGTTCTTCAGTAGTAATTCTGTAGTAATAAAGGGCAAGGATAACTGAAAGATGTATAATAATTAAGTACATTATACATTATATTCTCCATACATTCAACATAAAAGTAAAAAAAAAGGGGGGTATTTTAGAACCTTGAAATATTGAAAGATACTGTATAATGTCTGAAACTTTTAGAAACAACCTAATTTTATTTTTATATTATAAATGAAAAATAAAAATAGTTAAAATGTTGATATTGTTAGTTTTTACATATTCTTTTCAATGACAAATATATTTGTAACTAATGTAGTTGACTCTCTTTTAACAGAACATCACACCAACTACAAAACAATTCTCGCAGTATTTTAATAGCAAACATTTTTATATAATTCACCTTTAATTACAAGGGAAAAATGGTACTCATAAAACAGGATGATTTTTTTTTGCCATTCCCTTTTTGTACAAACAGTTGACTCGGAGTCAGTTCTTTATTTTGTGTTCATCTTTGTCCATTGGAGCATTTTTCAATGCTCCAATGAAGTCTATGAAGTCTATGATTTCTTTTCCATTCATTCTGCCAGAAAACTCACCATTTTATCCCACAAAACAATTAAACAGAGTAGAAGCTGCTTTTAACAAGTTTGAATTTCAAACAGTAAACTGTACGTGCATGTAGTTCATCTGTAGTATTGCAGGTGATAATTTTAATAATATATATTGTTTTCATTAGTAAATGTATTAATATGTTTACTAATTAGGGCTAATGGCACCCATGAACTTAAATCTTAACATAATAATACATACAAAGTTTGTGAGCAAACGTAGTCACTACATTTGGCTATAATGCATACATATGGCAATAAAGTTTCTTACAAACAAACAGGATATCTGACAATTGTATTTTCCTACCTAATGTACTGTATGTTATAAAACTTACAAAACAAAAATAAAATATTTGGTATTATTTTTTTGTGACCATGACTCTAGTTTAAATATTTGGATAATTTTTAAAAAATTATTTAATATATTTGGAAATACTTTTATATATTTTTATATATCATATATTTTTTATATTTTACTATTATGAAAATAATGATTTTTCAAGTTTTTCCAAAAATATGAATTGATTTATTATATTCGGATGTACTGTAAAAAATATTTAATATTTGGAAAAATATTTTGATGTTTTTGATATATTGACTTTGTCACCAACAGCAGATAAAAACAAAAGAGATAAAATAACAGAAGTCCTAATCACTTACTAAGGTTTTCAAAGTAAAACTTCTGCCCAGGGAGTCTTTGGTAAGGAGGATGGTGACTCACTCAGAATTAAATTCTGGACCCCAAGCAAGTCCAATGCACACTTCAGTATCATTAGATATATACCCTGTGCATTACCAAGCCTCACCCAGAGGTGGAGATAAGGCGTACCTATAGTAACTATAAGTGACCACCCCCTTGTGTTCCAGACCAACATCAATCCAAATGGAAACATTTGGTTCTTTCTCCCTTTATGTACTTGCCACAGAAATAATAATTGCATCTATTAATTTGTTACCATTTTTCAAATCCATAGATATGTCACAGTTGCTGATCCAACAATCAATCATTTTAATTGTTCTTTGTGTGTTATAAAATCAGTGCTCATACACTGAAATGCAGAGACAATAATATTCTAAAGTATGCTATTACAAGCATGTTTCCCTTTTCACAGTACATTAGAGAAACAAGTGATAATTTTCCATTACTTATAAAATAGACTATTAGCAATTTAGAGCAGTTCTTGAATCCTGAAGATTCCACTAAGTGCTATTTTTGTACTTAAATGCCAGAATTGCAACTATGCATTCCTAGCTTTGATCACGTATGAGTCTTGTGAAAAAAAACCTATTAGCAATGCATTATAAGGTGAAAACAAATGACTATAGTTATATCAAATTAGGAATTAGATGAGCACGGGAATACATATACAAATGTGTATCAAACCTAAAATAAGAAACCATCCCATCCCTCTCTAGAAAAGTGAGAGATAGGAAGGGTGATGACATTTTGAGGATACTGTTGGAGCTAGTTTAAATGTTTTACCCAGGCATCTGAAACTAGAGATACACAGATGTATTTGAAATGCAGTTCCCATGATTCTCTGACCATTTATTGTATTCAAATAATTTTTGTAGTTATAGGTGATTAATATCTGTTTTGTCAGAGTTTTAGAACTCTATGTTTACCATTTTATGTAACAGAGTGAATAATGTTGACAGGCAATAAGCTTATATTTCTTATTATGCACCTGCAGTTGCTCCAGAAAAGGATTGCCCATAAGGTGGCACAGGCCCCAGGGGATCCTCTCAGGGTGTCAAACTCAACTTCTGGCTACGAAGAAGTTCTCCTTGGGCCTGCAGGGAGATTTACAGACACACACCACTCAACTCCCCTACGCACAAAATTCAGCCACCACACACGATAGTTAACCTGAACATCCAGTCACATGCAGCCACATACAGGTCTCAGCCTCTTCCACACAACACAGCAATTATACAGTCTCACACACAACACTCTCCCACACACATCCGACACTCAGCCACCACACACACAACACTCACAGAAACATAGTCCATGGTTCTAGGAAGGGGCCTCAACTGAGCATTCTGCTTATGGCCGTGAGCAAACTTACTTTGGCTCTGGGTGGCTCCACTCATTTTACTTCAAAAGGGCACCTCATAAGCAAATCTAATGGGAGTTGCTGCATGATTTGCTCACTTCTAATTTGTGATTGGCTGAATTTGTGCAAGCTGTTACGTTAAAGTGACTTTAATGTCATTGATTGGCTATTGATTACTTGATTGAAGCTGTTTCTGAAGGGTTCTCATTTTGTGAAATCAGTTTGCAGATAATGAATTTGTACAGGTTTGCAAAGTTATTTATGCATTGCTGAGGGAGTTATTTTATGGTCTCCTAGGTAATAACATGACAGTCAAACTGTAAACAATTATGTTACCTAAATGTGTTTTCAATAATATGCATTTTTAAGTAAAATTTATGGGTTTTTTTATCACAGATTTTATCATAAACACAAATTTTCATTAATTCACTGGTTATGTGGTATTACCTTTCAAGTTCAAATATTTAACTTTAGGGCGAAAGTAGAAATGTAATTAATCGTAATGATAGTGATCCTTAAAAGCTTGAAGGGACCCTAGAGTCACCAAAACAACTTTAGCTTAATGAAGCAGTTTTGGTGTATAGATCATGCCCCTGCAGTCTTACTGCTCAATTCTTTGCCATTTATGAGTTTAATCACTTTGTTTATGAACCCTAGTCACACCTCCCTGCATGTGACTTGCACAGCCTCCCTAAACACTTACTGTAAAGAGTCATCTACAGTTTATCCTTCCTTTATTGCAAGTTCTGTTTAATTTAGATTTTCTTATCCCCTGTTATGTTAATAACTTGCTAAACCCTGAAAGAGTCTCCTGTATGTGATTAAAGTTCATCTTACAGAGAAAGAGATACAATTGTTTAAGGTAAATATGATTGAAAGTGAAACCATTTTTTTTCATGCAGGCTGTGTCATAGCCAGGGGAGGTGTGGCAAGGGCTGCATAAACAGAAACAAAGTGATTTAACGCCTAAATGGCAGTGAATTGAAACCTGAGAAGCATGATCTATACACTAAAACTGCTTCATTAAGCTAAAGTAGTTTAGGTGACTATAGTGTTCCTTTAAAACAACTACGGAGTGCGGTTTGCATCGAATACCCTTTTTTCCTTGTTCTCCCCTCATCATGTGAGTTTTTTAAAGGACCATTTCTTAACTACTTTAGTGTTAGACCCCTCATAAATATACTTACAGAAAGCATTACTGATTCTTTAGTTAAATCTAGATACTTGTTTACAGGAAAATCTGTTTTCTTTTTTAATATATATATATGTGGCCAAAGTGACCTAGTTTTTGGAGGGGTCTGTTTGCTTGCCTCCTACCCTGTGATTATGGGCCCTGCAATATACCTTGCCCAGTACACTTTAAAATGCTCCATTCATGTGTTGTAGATAATTTACTGCAAACCAATTAGTTTGAATGACTATCTGTTCCTGTCCAAATTAAAGATAATAAAGTTGCGTGCACGCAGAAGTGAATTCACACTGAGACACAAAGTTCAGGTTAATGAAAGAACTTCGGAGAAGTTTAATGGCTTCTGACAGAAAATGGGTGCGCAGACCCTTTTAAAGGCATTATTACATCACTGAAGAAAATCAAGATATAGACAAATAGACATTGTTAATTGGCTTAGGTGCTAAGATGTTAGTAAAATGCCCTCCCCATTCTTAGGTCACTATCCCCGTCATGATTATCTCCTCCAGGTTTTAGCGCCATTTTGCTAACATGAGGAGCTCACTCGACGGGAGGGGCCTTTTGGCAGCTATCCATTTAGAGTGTAACCTGGTGCTGTTAGTTTCTCAAGGTTAGGTTTCAAGGCTTTTAGTAAATACACATTTTATCAAAGCTATTTCTTGCTGACATGCAAATTCTATGTTCTATAGACAAAGCTTTCTTGTAAAACTATGGGGCCTCTTAGAGGTATAGCAAGAGGATTTAAAGGGGCCTTACAGACTTATAGAGGCCTAATAATTCTACAACAGTCCCCCCTAAAATGTTATTTGCTAAAAGACAAAACTTTATTTGTTAGTATCAGAAGATGTGTTAGCCCAAAGACACAGAAACCCCATGACCGCTGACTTAGTGTTAATGCAAAGTGCAAGTCTATCCCTCTCTTGACCCTAACAGGCTGCAGCACACCCGTCAGTACGGTTCAGGAACACTCTTCACTCCGCTGGTAACCCATAGTGGCTTATCCACTACTTCTCCGTACGGCAGTCTACCCATAAAGACGGACGCTGTCCCTATACTGTCCCTTCCTAGACTTTCTGCACTTCATCAGTTTAAGGGAGAGTTTGTAGCGGAATACAGGGTGAGGTGAGATCTTGATCATCGATTGTCAGATGAGTGAAGGTTGGTGTTGCTTGGTCTACAGTTTTCTGCAGGAATTTCCTTAGGCATGGGAGGACACAACAAATGAGAAGAGTGAGAATAAAAAGAAAAATTAGTAAGGCAATACCAATCTGGACTAAAGTTCTCTGCCAACCAGTCATCCAACCAAACCATTTTTCCCAGGGATCAGTAACTCCAGAGTTTCTCTTTAACTCTTCTGAGAGTCTATTTAATTTAGCTATGGCCAGAGTGACTTTACCATTGGGACCTGTGTTTTCTGGAATGTAAGTGCAACAAGTCATAGTGTCGGGTAGTATTTTACAGACCCCCCCTTTTTCGGCTAAGATCATGTCTAAGGCCAGTCTGTTCTGGAAGGTCATTTGGGATGTGGCCTGTAATTGCTCGGCCAATCCCTGGAGGGCATCCCTGGTGTAGTTCACGAAGCGCTGTTGGTTGTAATAGATATAATTAATCCAATTAAGGTTTTTGTTGGCAGTGACTATGGTAAAAAGTGATTCAAAACCTACAGCTACTTCATCTCTAGCTTTAAATTCATTGGGTACCCCCCTAGGCACCCCAATGGCATCTATGTAAATGTGGGGGTCAAAACTGCCTTTTACTGGGGTTTCGCACCTTACTCTGGCTGGTGTATGTGGAGGGTCGTATGTGTCATGATGATTATCAGAAATAATATGAATGGGCATGATAACTTTGGCCAGGGTACACTCACCCCACCACTCAGTTTCCAGCCTAGATCTTAACTGTAGATCCCCACATAACCCCCCAATGACCTGGTATGGTGTTGCAACAGGCGTATAGGAACAGTTCTGTAAGTGGCGCAATAACCTTTAGAAAAATTACCCATGAATTTACCAATCCCGTCATACATGGCATAACAAGTGTAATTACCTCTATAGATTGTGATTCCATCTGGTGGCTTAACATTTTCAACTAAGAGAGGGTATTCTGCCGTCCATGTCCATGATCAGCCCCTTGCCACTCTGGAGAGTGGTACATATCTCTGAGGTAGAAATGACCTAATTTGTTGTAGGAACCTTTCGTCCAATACATTCCCATTACATATCGGTCTGCATCCTCGGGGCCAGGATGTTCAATGTTTAACATTAATTTCATAGGGGTACTTCCTCCAGGCTTTCTTAAAGTCATTCTTTGAAGGAGGGATCTACCCTGATTGTCTATCTTAGATAAAGCACTTTTGGGTTTATAACCCCAGGCAGGCCCAGTATTCCATCCCGCAGCCCCCCAGTAGTTACAGTCATAACCCCATTGTTCATCTATTACACAAACGTAAGGGTCTTTTGCTTGTGGTATATCTTTATAAATGGCTTGAATCTGTGACTTAGGGAATGGGCATTCTACAATATCACAGTAATCAAAGGTGAATGTAGCCACGTGGGTACATGATGAATTATACCAGAAAGTGTACACACTAGCATCTTTGGTGATGGCCACCTGCTGGGCTTTAAGGAGGCCAACTAAGGAGATAATGTACCAGAGGCACATGGTTGCCAGAGGCACATGGTTGCATAGAGTTAGCTTCCTCTGGGGCAGGTGTCTTCTTGCAATGGGAAGCGTGGATCCAGTTAGGCCTTCCGGCCAATTTGACAGAAGAAGGGGAGATCAGGAGAACTTGGAACGGTCCGTCAAATCTTGGTTCCAGGGTGTGTTTTCGCACAAATTTCTTGACCAGAACCCAGTCACCAGGGAGCAGACTGTGGTTGCCCGTATCAGAATCAGGATCTGGAATTGAAGAGAAAACTTGGGCATGGATTTTGTTTAAAGCATTTGCGGGTTCAGTTACATAATCTACTAAAACATCAGTTTGAAGTTGTAGTTGTTGGGGAAAATAGCAACCTAGCCTAGGTGCAGTCCCAAATAGAATCTCATATGGGGACAGTGAGGTAGTATTTTTGTACAAGAGCATTCATTAGATCCTTTGATAAATGTGCAGGTCCGTGTGCCCATTGTCAGGGCCGTCTTTAAGGAGGGGCAAAAGGGGCAGCTGCCCCGGGCCCAGTTACTCCCGGGGGCCCTAAGGCAGCTGCCCCATGGGCCCCCTGCAGCACCTGAGGTAATCAGGGGCCACAGCCCTTTAATACTGCTCTGGACCGGGCCCTTGTAATATGGGGGTTGGCTGAATACAAACACACAGCTAGCCCCTCACACACTGCCCTGTGATCCCTTTTCTTCTCCGTGGCATGCTGGGAGGCAGTGAGGTCAGATCACTTCCTCCTCAGTGCCGCTGGGGAGGAGGCACACACCACACGGAGGAGGATGCAAGCATTGTTGGGGAGAGGGACTGAGAAAGCTGATGGCAGACTCCCATCAGCCTGGGCCAACAAGCTCTCACTGGACCCCAGGGAAGCCACCTTTCTGTACCCAAAAGGTAAGGAGACAGGAGGGTGGCTAAATATGTTTTGTTTTTTTGTTTTGCTTATTTCTGATATCACTTTTATTCAAGTGTTGGTGTTTGTAATGTAACACACAGGGAATAAGTACATGTTAAAAATCCTAGAAGAACCTGACAGTTCCCTATTAAATATACATTTTAAAAGTATTTATTTTAACATATTATTGCATCAAGTGTTATCAAAGGCTGTATACCATTTCCAAATGTCACTTTTGCCAAATTCTGGACCAGGGTATGTAAGAACAGAGTTGAGACATTATATGGCCAAGGTTGCTGGGAGTTGCTGTCCAAGAGCTGCTAGAAGGCAGAAATTAAAATATGTAACTGTACACATATATATGTGTGTGTGTGTGTATCTGGCTGTGTTTATGTCCTTGTGTGTATCTGGCTGTGTTTGTGTCAGTGTGTGTATCTGGCTGTGTTTGTGTCAGTGTTTGTATCTGGCTGTGTTTGTCTGTGTGTCAGTGTTTCTGTGTGTATGTATACCTGTGTATGTGTACTTGTGTGTCAGTGTGTATGTGGACCTGTGTGTGTGTTTGTGTGTGTATGTATGTATGTATGTATGTGTCAGTGTGTGTAAGTGTGCATCTGAGTGTGTGGTAATGCATACATTCCAGCATTTTAATGCCAACACAAATACACTCCATCTCTAGCACTGTACACATATACACCCCTGCATTTATACCTTTATGTATGTGTGTATCTGAGTGTGTGTGTACATACCTGTGTCAGTGTGTGTGTGTACCTCTGTGTGTGGATGTGCCAGTGTGTGTGTGTATCAAAGTGCTTGTATCTGTGTGTCAAAGGGTGTGTATCTGAGTGTGTGTGTGTATGTGCCAGTATGTGTCAAGGTGTGAGCATGTGTCAGTGTGCCTATGTGTGTATCTGCGTGTTAATGTGTATGTGTATATGTGTTATAGAAATCACACAACATGCAAACAGAGCCCTGCAAACACAAACATTACATACAAACACACCAGTTTGCTGAAACACCAATACTACACACAAATGTACACAACACTACATCCAAACAACCCCCTGCATGCAAATACAAACATTACATACAAACACATTCCTGTATTAAAACGCTAAAATTATATACAAACACCAACTCTACACACAAAAGTACACCTGCATTTAAAAGCCAACACTACACACAAGTACACCACTGCATTCCAATGGTAACAGTACATACAAATACACTCCTACATGCACACATACACTCTATACAATAACATGCTGACATTCAATTGCACAAACACCGCTCAAAAATACAACCCTGCAAGGATGGTAGATCCCCACCTGGCATAGCATCGCAGGAGTTGTATGACAGATGGGGATCTATCTTTTCTTTACTCTTGTGCTACAGGGCAGGCCTGGATTTTTTTTTGTTGCACCAAGGCACTCTCTACATTAGTTTCGCCTCTAGGTTGGGGTGGAGGGAGTGATTGCATGCCCAGGGGGCCCAAACAGATGCTTGCCCAGGGTCCAATCAATATTAAAGATGGCCCTGTAGCCCCCAAATACCTATACTTTAATAAATTTAAAGGCTTGGAAGCGTGGCTTCAAACCCACTGGAATTGGAGAGCTGGGTCTCTTACATCCTGTTATACCCAGGCATACCAAAATGTCACGTCCCCGCACAATGTTATCACGGCTTGTTATAGAGAATCATTGCATTCAATGATGCTTTATGACAAGAGAATTATTGGTGGATCTCTGTGAGTGCCATGCATGCCTACGGTCCTCAGTTCTCCTCTATGTGAAGCATTGTATTAGACCATTATCTGGATGCATATTGTCATGCACGGATTAAAGAGTGTCAGCACCACTAGAGACCTGATGCTGGAGAAAGGTAAGCAAAATATATATAATTTTTTTTATTTACAGTGCACACTTGGGGGGACATGCTAATTTGGGACATGAAGACTATAGAATTTGGAATACAGATTTGTATTCCTAATGCTATACTGTCCCTTTAAACTTCGGGCTGCAATCTGATGGTTTCTAGCTCAGGCTGCAGGAGCATTAAATACTTCTCTTAGATGCTGGCTTATGCATGAAAGCCTATAAAATCCACATGTGATTTCATCCAGTGGTGCAACCACAAAACCTTACAGAGAAACTCACCACCCACAGCCATAAAAGGGGGTATTTTCATAACTGTCGTTATTACAATTGATCCAACACGCAGTATTAGTATCACACTTAGGAATAAGGATAACATCTAACCGGACCTTAGAATGGCCAGACTTAACCTACCAGAGAATAGTCGAAATACTAGCCAAGGTCAGGAACACAGAACGAAACACAGTTGCAAGGAATAGCCAATAGTCAGGGATACCAGAATTCAGGGAAGTCAGAATAAAGCCAAAGTTAATAACCAAAGAAACATGATCAGGAACACACCTTTAAATATCCCTCTTGTGAATCCGATTGGCCTTATCCGGCATTTGACCCCAAAACGCGTGCGTGCGTCCTCTGCGAGACGTCATCAGCACGTCATCATCGCTATCATCGTGAACAGACGTGGGGCTACATAACAGTATGGATCCGCAGCGGCCGGCGTCCACTGGCATTTCGCAAACGCCCGATCTTATAGCATAGTAACGTCGAGTAGCACTTCTCCTATTCCTGGAAAGGTGATTAATGTTGTGCATAGCATATGGAGAGGATGTAAATGTGACAATAACACCACACATGCAGAAAAACATATGAATAATTAAAAATGATATGTTAGGGGACAGGCTGAGGGACTTTCTATTGCATTTATTCTCCCTATCCAAGATAGATGAGATTTATCCCACTTCAATGGAGATATCATGCAAATTTAGAAAATAGGGTGAGAAAAATTGACTCGACAAATTTTGTTTAGATTACCTTATAGCTATATGCCTAGATATTTCATGCTTGAGGCTCACCATCTAAAGGGGAACTCAGTGCGTAGTGTTAGTGTTGCTGCAATGGGGAGGAAGATATTAAGTATCTCTGATTTTGCATTATTAATCTGTAAATTGTATGTGTGAAATTATGAGTGTAGCCTCCGGTTAGAAGATCACAAAGATGAGGTCGTCTGCATAGGCTATGACTTTGTGAAGTTCTGTTTTGGACCCTGGATGTCTGCATTGGCCCTTATATTATTCATTAGGGGTTCCAGAGTGAACTCAAACAGTATGGGGGATAGTGGACACCCCTGTTGTGTCCCATTACATATGGGGAAAAGGTCCCCACCATGGGTGTCTG